ATATGATATGAAGAAGTAATCCAAGTAAAAGAATGAGGACATAGAATTCAATCTCACTTATGAACATAGATACAAAACCCAAATGAAATATTAACAAATTAAATACAGCGATGTACTAAAATAATAGAGCATCATTACTAAGTAGGTTTTACCCTGGGAAGACAAGAATCATTCAACATTGTAATTTCTGCAAATGCAATTCACCATATTAACATAATAAAGGATAAAAAAGAATTATTTTAAAAGATGGAGAAATGGCTTTAGATAAAATTCATTGCTCATCGTAGGTTAAAAAATAATAATTCTTGGGGCTGGCAGATGGCATGGTGGTTAAGGGTGCTGGACTCCCACATGGCTGACCACAGTTTGAGTCCCAGACCTGGCAGCTTGTTTCTCACTTTCCCTCTCTCTTTCTCACTCTGGTCAAATTACAATAAATAAATAAATAGATAAATAAATAAAGTTAAATAAAATAATTTTTAAAAATAAAATAATAATTCTTAGGCTTAGGGAAAGGAATTTCCTTAATTTTCTAGAAGAGTTTCTACTAGAAACACAAACCACATATGATACATAACATTGAAATATTAGAGACACTTTTATTAAAATCAGGAAGAAAGCAAAGATTCTTACTTTCTCCTGTACTATTTAATGTTGTAGCAAAGGGGGCCAGCAGGTGGTGTGGTGGCTGAAGTGCTGAACTTGCACAGGGCCAACCATGGTTGGAGTCCTGGACCTAAAAGCTTGAGAACCACACTGGGTACATGTGCATCTGAGCCTGAAATCTCAGGAGGAGAATGAGAGAAGGGACTGAGGCATGGCCATCCCCCCTTGGTGTGACTTCTTACTTGTTCACTGTCTCTCTTTGGTGAGTACACATGCCCTATGGCAAAGACCTTAAAAAAGAAATATTGTAGCAAAGGACCCAGTTAATGCAATTTGAGGTGAAAGAAAGAGGAAGAAAAAAATGAGGAGAAAAGAAAAAAAGAACATTAGGAAGTAAAAATACAAGAAACAATGAAACAAACTACCAGTAATTGCAGATAATAAGATCATATGCCCAGAAAAATCCATGAGAATCTATTGAAAAACTATTAGAATTAATAAGAGTTTAGCATAGTGGCTAGTAATAAGATCAATACAAAAAAGTCAATATTTTTCCAGTAAAAACCGATTAGAAAATGTCATGGATAAAATGTTCATTTCATTTTAGCAATAAGACTACTAAATAACTCAGAATAAGCCTAATAAAACATGTACTAATTCTACGTGACGATGTCTATTAAATTACTGAAGGGTGGGACCAGCAGATGGAGTAATAGTTACGTAGGTGGACTCCCACATAATCAACTTCAGCTCAAGTTTGGACCCTATGGCTTAAAACTCTCACAGCATGTGTGTGTATACATGCCCAAAATCCCAGGAGGAGACTGGAGGAGAAGGGGTTGCGGTGTGTCCATCCCTCCGAGGGTGATTGTGTACCTTCTGTCTCTCTGATTCTTTCTGTCCCTCTGTCAAGCGCACGTGCGCTATAGCAAAAATATCTCAAAAAAATAATAATTTTTAAAATTTTGCTGAAGGGGACCAGCAGGTAGCATGGTGGTTAAGGTGGCTGGATTCCCACATGGCCTACTGCAGCTTGAAAATCACACAAGGTGCATGTGCATGCATGCCCAAAATCCTGAGATAAAAATGGATGAGGGACTGTGGTATGGCCATCCCCCTGGTGGATGATTTTCTCACTTTCCCTCTCTGTATCTCTCTGTCTCTCTCCTCTCTGGTGAGTGGACATGCCCTAGAGCAACCCCTTACCCCCCCACCCCCCAAAAAAAAAACCACAAAAAACAGGAAGTCACTGAAGGAAGGCCAGTTGGTGGTATGGTAGTTAAGGTGGCTTGATTCCTACATGGCTGACTGCACAATTCAAGTCCTGTACCTGGCAGCTTGGAAAATATGCTGAGAATGGTAGAGAAGGGATTGTGGTGTGGCCATTTCCCCAGTGGGTGATTTCTCAGTTTCTCTAGGAGAAGCATTTGCAGGAAATGACATCTAAACAGAGAGCAGAAGGATGATTGTTTTGGGGTTACCTCACAAAAGTCACTCTCTTTCTGAGCCTTAGTTTCTTATGTTTAAAATGGTAATGATAAAAACCCAAGTAACTTACTGTAGTCGGAGCTTATGAAGAACTTTTGGTGACAAGTGCTTTGTTGGACTGTGAAGTGCTTTGTTATTATAAGGAATCATTAATACTAGTAGAAATAGTTATCTCCGGGACCAGCGGGTGGTGTGGTAGTTAGGGCACTGGATGCTCCCACATCACAGACCACAGTTCAAATCCTGGACCTGGTGGCTTGCTTTCTCACCTTCTCTCTCTCTGTCTCTGTGTCTCTCTGGTCAAATTAAAAATAATAATAAATAAAATAAATAATTATTTAAAAAATAAAAAGAAGTAAAATGAGAAATGTCTCTTCCTACTAGAATAGAAAATATAGTAAAAATTTATAATAATTAAAACAATGTGAACATGACTTTGGAATATAATAGGTGACTAATATACCAAAATAGAATTCAAATACAGACTCATTTTTAGAAATTGGAATTTAACATATGATAACATTTTATAAACCAGAGGAAAATGATTAATTCTTCAGTAAAAGGCGTGAGGACAAAAAACTAATAAGTTAATACAATTACTTCTCTATCATAATCAAAGGCAAATTCTAGATCGATTGAAAAAATAAATATTAAGGGGCCAGATGGTGGCACAGCAGTAACACAATGCTTCATAAGACTAAGCCACATGGGAAAATTACAGAAACCTTCCAGCACATTCTAGGTGTGAGTTTGCCCATGATCTGGAGCTCAATAAAACTAGGAGTGGATTGGAGAATGAAGACTATGTTGGGGGTGTCTGTCTCTCTATATTTCTCTCTGTCTCCTTGCTCATGGGAGAAACAAAACAAAACAAATGAACATAAAATATTTATACAAGTCTTAGACTACCACACATGAGAATAAGACCTTCATAAGCAGTTTATTAAAGTAATCCTACAAGCCACAAAAGAAAACATTGACAAATTAAACAACACAAAATTAAAAAGTAAAAATAGAAAAACAATGGGAAAAAGGGGGGGGGCTCTATAGCCTAGTGGTTACGGGAATTGGACCCCACATGACTGACCATGGTTTGAATCCTGGCGTTGGCAACTTGAGAAATACTCCAGGCATATGTGTGTGCCCAAAATATCAACAGGATGAAGAAATGAAGGAGAAGAGATTGAGGCATGGCCACACTACATTGAAGGATGCTTTCCTCCTTCCCACTCCTAACTCTTTCTCTCTCTGGGAGCACATGTGTCCTTTGGCAATTAAAAAAAAAAAGCCACTGAATAAGAACTCACTAAAAGCTAGGTCTCAAAGTGGTAGCCCATATTTACAAGAAACTTCATCCTTCACAGAGTTAAATATTTTTTCAAAATGTTAAAACCCTTAGGTGGACATTATTGTCTATGCCTTATCGTCTAACAGCTGTGAGCATCATACAATTACATTATCTTCCTGGCCCTTGTAATTGTTTGAGTTTCCGACTTGTGAAACAAAATGAAATACAAGAAACAGACTGGAAAATATATTTACAACATATGTAAAAGATAACCATAATATAAAAATTAGCATCCATTATATACCAAATGCTTCTATAAATCAATAAGAAAGTGACAACTCATTAAATAAACGAGCAAAGCTATGAATAGGAAGCTCATTAAAGAATTACTAATGGCCAATGAGCATGTGAAAAGTTGCTCTGTCTTACTAGTAATCAGAAAAATGCAAAATTAAACAAAAAATATATATACACGTTTTTCTGGCTTTCTGGCAAAAATTTAAAAAGATTGATAAAATGTAGTGTTGGTTAGGGTATGGGAAATTGATAATGTCATACATTATTGGGTGGAATATAAACCCATATGGCCATTCTGTTAGGTAATTTGGCACTATTATATCAAATTTGAACATGCAAATACACTTTGATGCAGCAAATTCACTTATAAAAATGCTTGCACAGCTGCACAAGTAGACTTGTACAAGGATGTTTATAGTTTTAAAAGATTGTAAACAACCCAATGGTCCATCTGTAGTGGAAGGATTATATAAATTATCATACTTCTTTGCTATGAAATACTACTTTGCAGCTATAAACAAAGTAACATAGACCAATCTGTACTGACATAGAGAGATCTCCAAGGCATTTTTATATAAAAAAGCAGAAAAATGCATAAAGTATGAACTAATTTTCATTTTACAAAGCACCTTAAACTCTGAGTATGTGTTTGCATGTGCATAGAAAAGTATCTGGAAGGATACATATAAAACTGTTAACATTAGGGTTACTTCTGGAGAGTAGTATAGAATAGAGTGGTGGTGAAAAGAGGCTTTCAGGTGTGCTTTATATATTTCTGTATGGTTGGCATTTTACAATAAAGATATATTCATATATTACTTGATTAATTAAAAACTTCTTCTGTTTTTTTTTTCTTTAGAATTATTTTATTAAATTATAAATGTACAACAGTTCCTTAACTCTACACACGCACTTAAATTGTTTAAAGGAAAAACGTTATGTCTTATTACACCATGATCCTGGCTAATAGCTTTTCAAAACTTTGAGAAAAATCTTAAAAAAGGTTTCACATGTCACCTGAAACTTACAAATTTAACATTATCAAAGAAGGAATGCTTCTACACTCTTACAAAGACCACTAGAAAGAAACAACAATTAAAAAGCTAAGAAACTGTCTCAAAGGCATTTTTTGCAATCCTTCCTCCACGGTAAGGTAATGTTATTAAATAATCCAATCCATTCACAAAATGGCTCTCTGCATCTGCTCTGGTGTCTCCTGCCATATCACTGTATATTTATGCATGACTGAGATAAGAATTTCCTTAGCATTGTTATTTGGATAACCTGAAGCTGTTCGGTTACCTCTGGGCTCTCCTCCTCTCCTATTTATACAGTGAAGCCCATGGCAAAGAGAAAGAAGCTCAATATCGGCTCCTCCCACCATAACTCCCACTTCCTCCACTGCCTCCTAGACCGTAGTTTCCTCCACCATATGGTCCCCCCATGTTTCTGCTACCACCAAAGTTTCCACTCTTCATTGGACCATAGTTAGAAGGTTGCTGGTTATAGTTTCCAAAATCATTGTAATTTTCACTTCCATAATTTCCTCCTCCATAGTTGTCATAATCATCTCCATAGCCCCCATCCTGGTTGCCATATCCAGGTCCTCCACTACCATATCCTCCTCTTCCTCCTTCATAACCAGGGCTACCTCCAAAATTGCCACCTCCAGGTCCGCCTCCACACCCATTATAGCCATCCCCAAAGCCACGTATTACTTCTGCGTTATGTCCATTGATAGTATGGTATTTCTGCAAAACAGTTTTATCCACAGGATCATGGTCATCAAAAGGAACACAGCAAAAGCCTCTTTTCTTTCCAGATTGCCTATCAGTAATTATCTCAATGGTATCAATTTTTCCATATTCCTCAAAATAATCTCTAAGGTGATGTTCCTCAGTATCTTCTTTAATTCCACCAACAAACAACTTCTTCACAGTTACATGAGCCCCTGGCTTTCCAGACTCCTCTCTTACCACAGCATGTTTGGGCTCAATGACTCTCCCATCAATTGAATGAGATCTCGCAGCCATGGTAGCATCAACCTCGGCCATGGATGAGAAAGTCACAAAACCAGGAACCAGCAGTTAGCGTAATGGCTATGTTGCTGGACTCCCACATAGTCGACCACGGTTCACGTCCTGGACCCAGTGGCTTAAAACTCACGCCGGGCACGTGTGCGTGCGTGCCCAAGATCCCAAGAGGAGAATGGAGGAGAAGGGATTGCAGCGTGACCATCCCCCCTGTGGGTTGATTTCTCGCTTTCTGTCTTTCTGTCTCTCTCTGTCTGGCGAGCGCACGTGCCCTATAGCGAAAACCTCTCCTACCCCCCCCAAAAAAGTCACAAAACCAAATCCTCTTGATCTTTTGCTTGCAGGATCCCTCATTACCACACAGTCTGTAAGCTTTCCCCATTGCTTGTAGTAGTTCCTCAAACTTTCTTCTGTGGTTTCAAAGCTTAAGCCACCAATAAAGAGTTTACGGAACTGTTCCTTTTCTCTCCAGTAAGGAAATTCCCGCCTCCACATCCCACTTTCACAAACGCAGGGCTGCAGAAACGCCCCATCCCCCAGGGGTCGGTAAAGGGAAATGGTCAAAAACTTCTTTTTTAAAAAAAGAGTAAAGGGGAACCAGCAGATAGTGTGAAGTCTGGGGCACTGGATACCTTATGACTAGCTGTGCAGTTCAGGTCCCAGACCAGCTGCTTGAGTATTATGCCTGGGGTGTGTGTATGCATGCCCAAGGTCCCCAAAGGAGAATGGAAGAGAAGGGATTGAGGTGTGGCCATCTCCCCAGGGAGTGGTTTCTCTCTTTCTCTCTTGTGAGTACATGTACCCTACAGCAAAAAAAAAAAAAAAAAAAAAAAAAAGAAAGAAAAAGTAAAGTAGGTAAGGGCATAGATTTGAAAACTTTTCATATGGGAGGTGATGAGAACATGCAGAAGGAAAGACAGGAAGTACTAGAAGTGAGAGTAAGGCAAGAGGAGATCAAGGACCCTAGCGCTCTCTCTCTGTCTCCTCTATGTAAATTCAATGAGACTTCCATTTAGTAGTTTGTGTGGGATCTTGTATCAGTCAGAATTCAATAAGAAGCAGTTTTATTGTCTAAGATATTTGTTAGAAGAATTAGACCTCAAGTCAGCAGGTAGCATGGAGGACAAGATGGCTGGATCCCACATGGTCAAGTGCAGGGTTCCAGTTCCAGACCTGGTGGCTTGAAAAACAAAGTAGGCACATGTGCATGCATGCTCAAAATCCCAGGAGGAAAATGGAGAAGAAGGGATTGTGGTGTGGTCATCCTGCTTGGGGGATAATTTCTCTCTCTCTCTCTCTCTCTCTCTCTCTCTCACACACACACACACACACACACACACACACACATACACACACATGCCCTACGGCAAAACAAAAACAAAACAAAACAACAAACAAACAAAAGAAAGAAAGAAAGAATAAGACCTCTTATCATTGTGGGAGGAACATATTGCAGGAGGGAAATGGAGAGAAATAAAGGTCTGAAAAGAGAAGTTAGAAGATCACCAGAAAGATTACCAGTCAACAGCAGTGCAAGCGAAAGAGTTGGAGCTTATAGGGAAATTTGTAAGCTAGGCATATCAGGCTGCTAGAATTGGGGTGTGAAGCTGTGATGAGGTAGCAGATAATGGAAGGATGTTTTCGTATGTACGTCCTTGAGAAGGAGCAGGATAAAGACAAATTGGAACTTCTCCACACCTCCATGGAGCCAGGGTACACGTGGAGGTTTCTAAACCAAAAATGTAAGCAAAGCTAAAAATTGTGCAGGAAAGCCAAGTTTCCAAAGCTAGGAGGGGAGTTTGGATAGTCATCAAAGCCCAAAGTCAGATACGCAGGTCTGTGTACAGATTCAGGAACCTGGAGCGTATGAGATGATAGATAAGTAATAGAGAAATAGTGGCTGAGTATAGCAGTGGTGGTGCCAGTGGGCATGTCTGCAGGTTGATCTTTCTTCACTGGTGGCGAGGTCGGGTGTTTGGGACACAAACAGAAATGTCTTTCCTACTCCATGTGTATCTGCAAACTTTAGTTGCTAGTGTTTGATGAGGTAAGCACCCTGAGATAGATTGAAAATCAGCTATTTTATTGTGCAAACTAATTAGCTCAGCTGATTATTTTTAATAAAAATACCTTTTAAAATTATTTATTATTATCCTTTTTTCTGTTTGGCAGGAGAGATTTTTGCTATAGGGTGCATGTGATTGCTAGAGAGACAGAGAGACAGAGAGACAGAAAGCGATAAATCACTCCCCACTCCAGGGGGATGGCCATGCCATAATCCCTTCTTCATTCTCCTCTCAGGATTTTGGACATGCGTGAACACATGCCCAGCACGAATTTTAACTCACTGGTCCAGAACTCTAACGGCAGTCCACTCCATGGGAGTCCAGCAATGTAACCATTACTCCATCTGCTGGCCCCTATTACTATTATTTTTAATCAGATTAGAGAGAGACACAGAGAGAGAGGGAGGGAAAGTGAAAAAGCAAGCTGCCAGGTCCGGGACTCAAACCACGGTCAGTCATGTGGGAGTCTGATGTCTCAACAACCGCGCCACCTGCTGGCTCCTAAAAATACCTCTTTAGGCTTGCAGATGGCATGTTTAAGGTGCAGTATCCCACATGGCTAACTCTGAGGTTTGAGTCCCAGATCCAACGGCATGAAAAACATGCTGGGCATATGAGCGTGCATGCCTAAAATTCAAAGAGGAGAATGGTGGAGAAGGGATTGTGGCATGTGTCTCTGCCCAAGCAGAGTGATTTCTCACTTTCTCTGTCTCTCTGTCTCTCTCTGGTGAACACTCGTACCCTATGGCAAAAATCTAAAAAGGAAAAAAAATCCTTTCATAAAAACAAATGGTATATTGATTTTACAGCACTCTGGGCATGCTCCTTATTCCATAGCTGACCAGAACTTTAAAAAAAAAAGTTTTCTACAGGGTGTGCTCACTCTCCAGAGAGGAGACAGTGAGGGAGAAAGTGAGAAATCACACCCTCACACACACCAGGGGGGATGGCCATGCCACAATCCTTCTTCTCCAGTCTCCTGTGATTTTGGACATGCACGAACACACACCCAGCATGATTTTCAAGCTGCCAGATCCAGGACTCGAACTGTAGTTAGCCATATGAGAATCCAGAGCCCCAAACACTATGCTGCATGCTGGCTTCATTGACCAGCACTTTGAATAGCTCCAGAGATAGCAATGAATTAGAGTGAAATCTAGGTGTCATTGACATTTTTGCAGCATTTGAAACTGTGGAATAGTTAAGATTTCCCGGTGAATACACACAGAATGAGAAGAGGAGAGAGCCAGGACAGGGCCATAAAGGATACTGACTTTTTTTTTTTTATAGTTCATGTACTGTGGCAAGTATTTTACATGGATTATCTCATTCAATCCTCACAATAGCCCCAGGAGGAAGGTATTATTATTTCCATCTTAAGCATCAATAAACAGAGGCTTATAGTTATACAGCCAATAAGTGGCAGAGCTAGGAATCTAACCTGAGTTCTCTGACTCCAGAACCCGTGTTCTTAGTTGCTAAAATCTACCAGCAGGCTGGTTGGAAGCAAGGACTCTAGTATCTCTTACCAGTGGTTACTTCTGAGAATGAGGGTACTTCTGGGCAGAATTATGTAGGCGGTCCAAAATGGCTTATTGCATCAAGGAGGTCTGAAAATCAAAAGGGAGTTGGATTGACTCATAAAAGGTAGTATCAGAGTACATACCACAAATAGTTGCTAATACCCGAAGTTGGCTTTTTTGGGGGCGGGGGGAAGGGTATGGTATGGGTTTGCTGCATGAATTATCTTGACTCTCTTTTATAGATAGTGTGAATGATGCATAGCAGGGTACCCAAGCTTAAAGGGCCAGGTGTGAAATGGGATGGTCCCTAGATGTTGGAAATATTTTGAACTTGTCAAATTGACTGGGTTGGAATACTGTGAGATCATCCGCTTGTGGAAGGGCCTGGGAGAAACCTTCTAAGAAGCAAGAAAACCTGGAAGAGACCTGAGAGTTCTCCAACCTCAGGGTGTATTGTAATCTTTGCTTTGTAAATGAACTGAGAAGGATTTGGCTCCTATCAAATAGGAACAAGGTAGGCAGGCCCCTCAGGAGTTGGGGCTTATGAAAGAGAACAAGTTGCAGCTTTCTACTATCCCAGTAGGCAAGAGAGCATGAAATGAAAACACTGTCACGGAAGCTGCATGACATTCTGTGAGCCCAGAACAAGCAGCAAACCTGACTTCCTCCAAAGAAGATGGGTACTTTACACAGCTAGTTACTGTGTCCTGATGAAGCAAATGACTCGCCTTTGCTTTATTTTTGTCAAAACACGTATGAGTACATAGTGCTATATTTTAGATTAAGTTCTTATCTCTAACCACCCTCACCTGCCTTATCCCACTAGACACTCTTTACGGTCACAGAGAATTTATCTTGTTCACTGCTATGGCATTATACCTAGACCAGTGCTTGACACCTTATAGGTCTTCAATAAATATCTCTTGGATTAAGGAAGAAAAAAATAAATGGATCATGGAGGAGGGAGGAGAGAGGCCCATAACCACAAGAAACAAAGAATACTTACAAGAAACAAAGAATAGTTAAAAACAGACTCTGGTGCTAGACTGTCTGGCTTCAAATTTCATGCACCTTTGGGCAAATTGGATAACAATTTCCTCATCTGAAAATGAGAATAGATTGTGCTTCTTGGGTTGTCGATAAGATCAAATTAGCTAATAGTTGTAAAGCTCTTAGAATAGTGCCTGGCACATAGTAAAAGCTATATAAATGTTTGCTATAATAATAACTCCTATTATTTTGAAAAGACAAGTGGAGGAAAATACAAAGTAGAAAGAAGAAGAGAGGTCAACATTCTCCAAGCGGTTGCTATATTCTGGGAGCTTTGCTCCATGAGTCACTTGTACTACTTCATTGATTTCTCACTACAACCTTGTCAGGTAAATAGCATTATTATTCTACTTTAGAGATGAAAATACTGAGGTATTTGTCCCAAGTCCCGCAGAATTGAAACTGAAAGCCAGTATGCAGCCCGAGCACTTCCCACTCAAGAATACCGCCTCTAAACTCCAAATCATAAAGGCCATGTGTTTGTATCGATAATTTTATTATTAACACCTAGCAAATAGTGTGTACTCAAAAATAACAATAGACGTAAATGAATGATGAAGGAATGAATTCTTTCAAGTGCAGCAGAAAGAGAAATTCCAACCAAATCTAGGGAAAAAACTATGAAGGCCGTGAAGGTTGCCAATATGAAATAGGATTAGATCTGAACCAGAACTTGCTGGAATGAGAATGATCCCAGGCTGTTATAGTGCCAGTCCGAAGCCACTGTGATCTGTGACTGGAGTTTATGATTATGTTTTTAAATTAGGAAGGAAAACATAAGAAATACATTCTCATTTTAAAAAATCCACAAAATAATGATAAAGCAAAAATTCTCTGTGACCTACCTTCCACCAAC